GAAGGAAAACAAAGATGTCAACTTGAAGGAAAAAAGTGAGTTAAATTGGCTTTCCAGGTATTCAGGGAAGAGGAGAATATGAGCATTCACATTAGTGGAAGGCAGAAAAAGACTAAAGAGTGTTATTAGTGAGATCTGCTTAAAGGTGGATAATCTGGAAACTATAGCCAATGAAGGGATACTTGAGGACATGTCTTAAATTTTAGTGGATGCTGACAAGGAGACACATAAAGGTAATTAGATACCTCTAATTTAAACATATTAAATTCTATATGACATTTTAAAGAAGAATGGCAAAGTGATTTGGTAGACTTAGAAATTCAGAAGACTTGACAGTTATGCCAGTAGAATGCTAACAGCACAGTAAAGGAACTGGAAATAGACTTTCAGCACAGTTTGTTCAAATCTACCTGTTTTTCTAATACACTGCTTTTATAAGCACCTAATGTAAAAAATATTTAGTATCTTCTACTAGATGGGGGATTTTTCACAGCTGAAAGAACAAAGTGTATGTATTCAAAAGTGATTAATGAACTGGATACATCTGTATTTGGGTACCTATCTTGACACCTCTCTAAAGCTGCTTTTTTAAAAAAACTTTAATTTTCAGAAATACTAAATAACAGGCTTCTTTAGGATGTCTCATTCAGGTCAGCATATATGACATCCTCTCTGCCAGGAAGAGAGGAATGCACTATTGAGTTGGCATGTTTTTACAGAAATTTTTTTATCAGCCCTACAGAAAATCATCCAGATAACACATGAAGAGGTGTCAAAAGATGTCTATGAAGAAGAAGATATGACTAAGAACACTGTACTGCAGCGGTACGTTACCTGACAGGTTTCTGAGTTAACTAGGAGAAGCAACTCATCAGGACAGAGCTTATGTTGGGTTTTTTTTCTTTTCTTTTTTTTTTTTTCTCCCAAACAACTGAATTCAGCACTCAGTTAATTCAGATGACATTTACATTTTTTGGCATGGGTAGCAGAGTAGCCCATTTTGCTGCTGTGCAAGCAGTATGTATTTTCTGGAAAATACCCCATGAATCTTTCCCTTGCAAACCGAAGAGGTACTGTGCTCCAGCAGCTTTGTAGAAAAAGCAAAGTTCTATCTTTCTCCTGTAGAATTGTTTCTGTTTCTACCACTGCATTTTGCAGGGGTGTCTCTATAACATTTCCAGTTAAGCTTACATAGATGTGTTTCCTCATTACTGAGTTCTGTGGTGGTTTCCACAGCTATAAGATCAATGTGACAAACCATTCTTACAATTAGACTTTGCTGAAGCATTTTTTCCCTTGAGTTGAGGTCAATAGAAATAAATTTTGCACCTGGATAGCTTCAGCAAGTCTGTAATATTAAGAATGTTTTATCAGCACCTGTAGAATTTTTCACATTCTGGAGAAGGCAGAATATATATAGTGCTGTACACTATTTTAAACCTTGTTGTGTCTTACAGGTTGTTGCCAGTGGCTCAGAAGAACTACAGAGTAAACATGCCATTCATTAAGGACCAAGAGAGTACAATATCAAGGAAGCAGAAGCCCAGAAGGCAGGGGTAAGAGTACAAATCTGGTTTTGAAGGACATTATAAGCTGTATAAACTCAGCTCTATGTGTGGAAAGCATTTGGCATGCAAATGTCAAGAGAGCATTTCGTTACATGAGACCAGAGCAGGCCAGTGAAACCTTGCAGCACATTTAGTGTATATTTCAATGCAATGCAAAGGCACTTTCCTGGAAGGATGTGACTGGAATGAAAGATTGTAAAAATCCAAATTCAGTATCACTTACAATTTTTTTTATTCATCAAATTCTCTCACAAATGTGACAAATTAAAAAAATGTAAATTATATAAAATTTGGATTTTTACTGAGAATAAGGAGATCTCAAAATTTACGTGGGCTCACTTTGCTGTATGTTCTGAGCGACACAGGTGTTTACCACAAAATGGTTACCACAAGATGTTAATTCCAGTTTTCTGTGTTTTTTGGCAGCTGCCATATCAGCTCTTTCATTAAAAGAAAATCTAACTTGTGTGCTGATATGAGGCAAAAGTTTGCAGCAGTACGTGAAGAAGCAGCTTGTTGTTTACATGATGCCCTAGAGAGCCTTGAGAGGTAGGAAGAGACTGTTTTCTGTATACTCTTAAAACACTAGACACCTTGCTTCTGACCAGATTTAGGACTTCTCTGCAGGCCTTTTAAAGATGCATTTATATGAATTGACATTAAAATAATGATACAGGGATGATGATAGAAAGCTTTGTGACTGTGTACAACAAATAAATATTTATGTCAGTGTTTTCCTAAAAACATTGGATATATTTACTTTGGACATCATAATCCTTTTCACCCAAAGACAGAATAATAAATTCAGTCCACATACAATCTATATGGCTGTCCTGTGTTTTCAGTTCAGAGAACACTGTATTGTTCTTCAACATTACTTTGACTCTTCTCATAGTAACAGTTGCAGTGTCCTCTCTCAAGGCCTTTTCTCAGATCAGTGACACTTCTACCTTGTTGACCAGCCAAAGTCTGTCATCCTTTTCCTTTCACCTAGAAACATTCATCTGTGTTTGTGCAAATTCTTTTGTCTCAGTCAGCATCAGACCTGAGATCCTTCTCTACATTGCTGTTCTGAAGGGTGTTATAGACAGAATTTTCTTTCCTCCTCTCGCTTCCTTCATTCCATTCCTTTGTTCTATTTTGTACTAAGACTTTTTTTTGTCCCCGGACCTCTGGGGCTGAGTCCTTGTGTTCTTCCCTGAGCAGCTGCTGTGACTGCATAAGGAACTAATCATTCCAGTATCCTGCAGTATGGAAGGACAAGTCAGATGGAAACTTACACTTGCAGCTGTTTTAACCATTCTTTGTACAGCCACACAGTCGTATTCTGTTCGATCAGCATTTGGAGATGAAGCCTCAGTTTGGCAGGATATAGTATAAGTAGTTTATTGGGAAGAAAAGCAGATGTCTATTTTTGTTATAACACAGTAGTACTTCTTGTGAGAATGCATACATGAGCCCAATCTCTGGGTCAACATTCTAGCTCAGGTCACTCTATTCCACCTCTCTTCGTTGTTTTAAATAGTATTTTACCCTAAATCACTGTGCAGTATTCTGTTTGTTTTTAAGCCGTGGCCACCTGATAGAAAGTGGAGGTTGAATTTCAGTTTAAATGTTCTGATGCTCAAGGTTTTTTCTTATGTACAGCCTAGAGTTGATATAAAATGTAAATGCTTTTTAATGTTTCTAGAAATACGAATGTATACAGAACACTGCAAAGGCAAAAATTATTATTAGTGTCCACATGCTGAACATCTTCCCAGTTAACTATGCAGAAGTATGGTAATGTTTAAAACACACCTTTAACTTTTGAAGTTTGTTTGGTTTTTTTCATAGGAGGCAGGAAGAGCGATGTTGTCAGAAATACCAGGCTTTGAAACAATTGAAGTATTTTAGAAGAGACATGGAAAGAATAAGACAGCTGGGCATGAGAGCCAAAAGAGAACATGATGAAGATGAACTAAACTGGTAAGGAGGCACAGAAACCATCAGTTCAAGTGAGATGGCCAGTTCTGCCTGTATGAAAAGCTTTTTTCTTTTCTTTTTTACCTCCCCAAAGCAAAATATCACTAGAAACCATTGAATTAGTTGCTGGAAATGCAGGCTTTTCAAACTGGTAGCAACAAAAATACAGATATGATCTCTATGAGCAGATCTCAGCCTGCTCAGCAAATAAGTTAAGTGGAAATGGTAAGAAAGGGGATACGGAAGAGTTCCTTTCCAGTGATATCAGGCAAAAGCACTGAGTCCTTGCATTTGCACACCCTCCCCAGCATGCAGCTTTATAGGAGACTTCTTCTGCTAGGAAGTATATAAAACACACTGTACCCTGAAGATGAGATGTTGTATAAATATACATGGGTTAGATTCACAACTTCTTACTGAACTGAACATTCACAATACTAAAACTGATGGTAAAGGCAACTTTGACTCTAGCTGTCCATCCATGTTAAAAAAGAAAAAATTTCCCTGACAATGTTTATGAACTGCACATGGATAATACTGCAACATTTACAAGGGCAAGTAGAGTAATTGCCTAAATGCTTCCCAGTACAGCAATTCGGCAGATAACTAGTGTTTTATGTTTGAAAGCTATTAGCAGTGACCAGCTTCCAAATAGACACCAGAAATAGCCTACTAGAATACCTCAGCAAGCTCACAGCATGTTCCCTACTGCCCTGTCCATGAGAACTCTTTGGGCATGGGATTACAGAGTATGCAAACTGCATAGAACCTTTTTTTTCATCAGCCTGCCCTCTTTTGCTCTCCTGGCTAGTAAGCCTTCTGTCCTTCATAATTTGAGAGAATAGAAAGTGTATTTCTAATCTCAGGATCAAAATACAGGTGGTCCAGGAGCACATCAGTCATGTGTTAACGAATAAACTTAGTCTTAGGTCTATCTAGCAGAACTCTGTTTTTAATTGTCAAACATATTTGCTCAAGCTGCCCCTCAAATTTAAGATCTGAAACTGGAATGGATGTGGTTTTGCATTTGTAGTTACAGTTCTGCTAGAAGAAGCCTTAACTTGGACAAAACTCCATGAATATAAAGGAGACTAATCCAATATGGCGTTTTACTTTTTCCCCCTATGCAAGAACAGTACAAGTCTGCTGTTCCTTCATATGAGAATTGTGCTTCCACAGTGAGAAGGCTGTCTTGCTTTGACTGTGCCAGCATAGTTAGACGAGTATAGCTTTCTTATGCCAGGCCTGTCCTGCAAAGGGCTATCCATGAGGAGTATGAAGAGTGAAATCTCTGACAAGGCTGGTCAACGCCGTTGTGGAAGACACAAAGTCATGACAGAGAAATTGCTTTCACCGTAACACTTGTTTCATTTACAGGGCTGTTTTTTCCCCATGCTCTTGCAAACACTGCCTTGACAAGAAAGCTGAATCACAGTAGGAACACTTTACTAATACATGCCTATACTAGTCATACTGTATGACTATAGGCTGTCAGTCTAGTTGTCTTAGCTCTGTCATGAGGTGAGGAAAAACAAAAATAATACAAAATATGAACAGTGCAATATAAAAGTACAGTAAACATAGCTTCCTTTCTCAAAGAAAATATCTTAATGCATGGATGCATTACAAAAGGCCTCTGTGTTGACATAGTTATGGTAACCTGGGTAATACAGCCAGTGATAAAAAGGAGTTGGCTATACAGCCATACGCATACCAGCAGTGTACTACTGGGTGTAGAATTGGCCCTAGTGAACATGAGAACCTACACGTTTCCTTTTTGTACTGGTTTAAGGAGGAAATTCCTCACCCGCCTCCTGCAGTCCCTAAACTGGAGGGAGGGATCACTTCCTGCTG